CGCTGCAGTCTTTGTTGCTCATGGCGTTGCTGCTGCTGTTGCTGTTGTTGCTGCTGTCGCTGTTGCTGTTGCTGCTGCTGCTGCTGCTGAATGCGTAGCCTATACACTTGGCATCGAGCCTGGGCCCTGCACTGCTGCTCCTGTTGCTCTAAACACTCTTGCTGCTTGCGCTGCTGCTGCTGCTGCTGCTGCTGCTGCTGCTCTAAGCTCTCATCGATTGTGTGCTGCTGCCGCTGCTGTTGCTGCTGCTGTTGCTCATTACATGATAGCTGGCTGCATTCAGAGAGAGAGCGAGGAATTTGGAGCTCCTGTTGTACCGCTGCTGCTGCTGCTGTTGCTGCTGTTGCTGCTGCGGCAGCTGCTGTTGCTGCCTCTGCCTCTGGCCCGGGACTGTTCTGCCTGCTGCTGCTGCTGCTGCTGCTGCTAATTGTTTCCGGGGTGCATTCTCTAGATGCTGGTGGAGTGTTAGCAGCTGAAGATGCTGCTGCCAGCGCTGCTGCAGGTGTTGCAGTTGGTGCTGCACTGGATGCTGCTGCTGCTGCTGCTGATGCTGTTGGCGTTGCTGCAGCAGCTGCTTCTCTGTCTTGCCTCTCATCTGTTTCTTTAGAGGCTTCCTGGCTTGCTGCTGCGCATGCATACAGCGCCCTTCATCCGCAGCCGTAAACCCTAAACCCTAAACCCTAAACCCTAAACCCTAAACCTCAATGAAGTCTAGCGTCGTAAGAGTCTCGCTGAACACCAGCCGTCACAGCAGCAGCAGCAACATGCAAGCCCCAACAGCAGCAGCAGCAGCGGAAGCAAAAAAGGCGTAGCAGCAGCAGCGAATGCGTGGTTAACAGCAACACGCGCCGGTGCAGCAGAAACAGCCGCAGCGGCAATGAGAGCGGCAACAGCAGCAGCAGCAGCAGCAGCAGCAGCAGCAGCAGCAGCGGCAGCAGCAGCGGCAGACTCACGGCTTGAGCCAGCCTCGGAGGCTTCGCCTTGAGACAGCTGCTGCAGTTCAAGGCGTGTGGCCTCCAGCTGCTGCTGCTTTGCTGCTGCTGCTGCTGCGCTGTGGCTTCTCTCCAGTAGCTGCTGCAAAGACGGCAGCAACTCAACCTCTTCGTGCTCCTGCGGTGGCAGCAACAGCAGCAGCAGCAGCAACAGCAGCAGCAGCAAAAGCAAATAGAAACTGAAAGCAGTAGCAGCAGCAAAGAAGCTGAAAGCCTGCGCCTTCTTGTCAGCCAGGGCCTGTACTTGAGCACGCAGAAGCAGCAGCAGCCACAGCTCGACTACGGCGTGATGCAGCAGCAGCAACAGCAACAGCAACAGCAGCAAAAGCAGCAGCAGCAGCAGCAGCTCATGCCTTGACGATTTGTAGCAACAAGTCGGTCAGTGAGTCCTCAGGGGCCAACGGGAGAACTTCGGGAGGCCTGCTGCTCCACTGCCGTGGGAGCGCAGAAATCTAGAGCAGCAGCAGCAGCAGCAGCAGCAGCAAGAGCAGCAGCAGCAGCATCAGCAGTAGCAGCAGTAGCAGCAGCAGCACCAGAAGCAGCAGCAGAAGGGTCAGTCTTTAGCCCACTGCCGTAGCGTCAGCAGCAGAGATGATGCAGCAAGGGCATCAGACGCCACCGCAGCAGCAGCAATATCAGCAGCAGCAGCAGCAGCAGCAACAGCAACAGCAATGGCAGCAGCAGCAGCAGCAGCAGCAACAGCAACAGCAATGGCAGCAGCAGCAGCGGCATAACTTGCCGCACCACCTGCAGCTGAAAGCGCTGAAAAACAAGTGGGAGGGCCTGGTAAACAATGTAGCGCGCAGAAGGGGGCACTGCAGCAGCAGCAGCAGCAGCAGCAGCAGCAGCAGCATTACTCATTGTAGCTTCCAGCTGCGTTGCTGCACTTGCGGCCTTTGGGCTCTCATCCTTCGCAGAGTTGAAAGACTGCAGTTGCGGTCCGCCGCCCTGCTGCTGCTGCTGCTGCTGATCTTGCTGCTGCTGCTGCTGCTGCTGTTCTGGCTGCAGCAGCAAAAGGACTGAAGGTGGGAGAGAAGCATCCAGGCAATCTGCGTGTCTCAGGAAGCGCACGGCCAGCACCCGCTGCAGCAAGAGCAGCAGCAGCAACCACTGTCAGCAGCAGCGACAGCAACAATAGCAACAACAGCAGCAGCAGCAGCAGCAGCAGAAGCAGCAGCGAGACCACCACGGGTATGTGCAGCACGAAGAGCAGCAACAGGCGGCACCGCAGAAGCAAACCTACATGAAAAGGGCCCACCTGAGGCGCATGTTGACAGACACAGCAGCAGCTGCAGCAGCAGTTGCAGCAGCAGCAAGTGGAGCAGCAAAAGTAGCAGCAAGAACAGTGAAGGCTGCAACCGCAGCAGCAGCAACAGCAGCAGCTGCAGCAGCAGCAGCAAGGGCAGTGAAGGCTGCACCCGCAGCTCTAGCAGCTGCAGCAGCAGCAGCTGCTGCAACAGCAGCAGCAGCAAGAGCAGTAAAGGCCGCAACCGCAGCAGCAGCAGCAGCAGCAGCAGGTCATCCGGGTGCAGCGAAGACACTACAGCAGCAGCTCACAGGGGCAAAAAGGACATCCCAGGGGGAAGCATGGCTGCCGTGCTGCTGCCAGTGCACCTTAGGGAAGGCCGCCTGCAGAAAAACGGCAGCAGCAGCAGCAACAATCGCAGCAGCAGCAAGAATCGCAGCAGCAGCAGCAGCAGCACCAGCTGCTGCTGCTGCTGCGGGAAACTGGGCGCCGGATACCATAAGCTGCTGCCCATTATGAGTGCCCCGCCGCCCCACGGGAAAGAAAAGACTCTTTTTAGCAAAACCACATGAATCCGCGTTGAAGCTGTTGCGGTTCAAGGGTTTAGGGTTTAGGGTTTAGGGTTTGGGGTTTGGGGTTTCCAGGGTCACCTTGATCTCCTTGCTTATCCGGGGGTGGCGGGAGGAAAACCAGACAGAGAGAGAACCTCTCATTGCTAATAAACTTAATTTCAACTTTGTAGCAGCAGCAGCAGCAGCAGCAGCTGCAGCTGCTGCTGCTGCCAGTGCTCCTGCTGCAGTGTCGGCTGCAGCCTGTGACCATTGGTCCTCATGGTCGCAGCCGCCGCAGCAGCAAATGCATGCACAACAAAGATTTACTTTTGTTGTATCTTTCCAAAAATAAAAACTAAAAGTATTCAAGTTAAATTTCGGTGTGGCTTTAGAGGCGTGCTAACTTGCTGCTGCTGCTGCTGCTGCTGCTGCTGCTGCTAGGGTCTTGGCGCTGCAGCTGCACGGCGTGCCAGTTCTGCCTCTTGCTGTTGACGCTGTTGCTGCTGCTGCTGCTGCGGTGCCGCTGCTGCTGCTGCTCCGCTTCCTCCCTGCGTGGCGCTGGCTCGAGGCCCCCACAAGTTTAGCAGCAAGTGCGTTGGGGTGTCTGTACACTGCAGGTGACCAGCAGCAGCAAGCTCAGCTCGAGCAGGAGCAGCAGCAGCCGTGTCTGTGCTTGGCTGCAGCAACTGCTGGAGCAGCAGCAGCAAAGAATCGGCTAGGCCAGCTCTGCTGCAACACCAGCAAAGAGGTTAACAGTCGCACCCGCAGCAGCAGCAAGAGTGACTTTAGTAGCAGCAGCAGCCTCCTCGACAGCAGCAGCACCAAATCAGCAGCAGCAGCACAAGCAATGCGGCAGCAGGTACACTGCAGCACAAGCAGGTTGGGCGCCGCAGCAGGAGTGACCCTGCAGCAGCAGCAGCAGCAGCAGCGCAGCAGCAACAGCTGCAGCAAGACGCTGCTCGCTCCAGCAGCATGCATGCGCGGGTGCAGCAGCAACTAAAACCCGTCTTTCTCAGCGTCATGCTGCAGCAAGCCAAGGGCAGCGACGAGCTGCTCCTTGTCTGTGAGGGGCTGCTGCTGCTGCTGCTGCTGCTGCAGCTGCTGGTCTATGGTGTACGTACACCCCACCCTGAGCGCCGTGGTAGCAGCAGCAACGACGGCGGAGAAAGGAACAGCAGCAGCGTCGGAAACAGTGACTCCAGAAGCAGCAGCAGCAGCAGCAGCAGCAGCAGCAGGGGCTCCTGTCTCTTCCATTGTCTCTCTGAGGCCCCTCAAGTAAGCAACAGCAGACAGCAGCAGCTGCTCGTCGCTCAAGCCAATGAGCTGCTGCAGCCCGAGGCTGCTGCCGCGCTGCACTCGCTGCAGCACATGAATTGCTGCCAGCAGCAGCGGCACAGCGGCGCACGTCGGCTGCTGCTGCTGCTGCTGCTGCAGCGGGTGCCGCTGCCCCAGCCCCCCCTGCCCCTGCCCCTGCTGCCCCTGCTGCTGCTGCTGCTGCTGCTGCTGCTGCTGCTGCAGCAGCAGCGCGTGCTCGGCCAGCAGGTGGGGGGTGGACAGACACAGCAGGCGGCGGGCCCGGCCCAGCAGCTCGCTGTGGCTCTTCAGGTGTACATGCAGCTGCGGATAAGCCACTGACAAAAAGCCTTCGGTGTCTGCCAAGCAGCAAGCCAAGGAAGCTCGCTGGCTGTCGAGCCGCGCAGCACTGAGACACACTGCAGCAACCACCCCCTGCAGCAGCAGCAGCAGCAGCAGCAGCAGCAGCAGCAGCGGGAGTTCAGCCGCGGCCGCGGGGCAGCAGGGGCAGCAGTGCAGCGCCCGCGTGCCTCTGCGCTGGGAGCTCAATGCATCTGCTGCCCAAGTGACGCAAAGTCACGCGGAAGCAGCAGCAGCAGCAGCAGCAGCAGCAGCAGCAAGCAGCAGCAAGAACAACAACAACAGAAGCAGCAACAGCAGCCGGAATAGCACCAGCAATCGCGAGAAAATGGCAGCACCAAAAGCAGTGGCAACAGCAGCAGCGGAAGCAGCAGCAACGGCAGCAGCAATAGCAGCAGCAACAGCAGCAACAACAGCAGCAGCAGCAGCAGCAGCAGAAGCACCTGCAGCAAATGGACGCAAATGCCTTTTGCCTCGATGTCGCTCAGCGGGGGAGGCAGCAAAGAAAGGTATTGCTGCTTCAGCTGCATCACAGCCCTTTCAAACATGCGCATGCAACGCAGATCTGCTCGCTGCTGCTGCTGCTGCTGCTGCTGCTGCTGCAGCTGCTGCACCTCAATCGGCAGCACAGCAAACACCTGCTGGTAAATCTGTATAAGAGGGGGCCCCAGAAACCACCGCTGCATCAGAGCTTTCTGAACCGCAGCACAGAGTCCCAAACCCTAAACCCTAAACCCTTAACCCTAAGCCTTAAACCCTTAACCCTAAACCCTAAACCCTAAACCCTAATCCTTAAGCCAAAGGCCTCCTCTGGCATCCTTTCGAGCTGCTTGAGACTTCGGCCGAAGCTCTCACTCCTGGACCGTGAACCCTAAACCCTAAACCCTAAACCCTAAACCCTAAACCCTAAACCCTAAACCCTTACTTTCATCACATCCATTTCTTTGTAGGCGTTTATGCTCTGAAGAGCAGCTCCTGCTGCTCCTTCGGGGGTGGTTGGGCCCTTCTGCGCTGTACATACACCCCAAGCAAGCAGAAGCAGCGCGAGCTGCTGTTGCTGCTGCTGCTCCCACAACAGCAGCAGGAAGGAATGAAGGAAATCTAAAGAACAGCAGCAGCAGCAGCAGCAGCAACAGCAGCTCACCGGCCTGTTTTGTGCGCTGCAGCAGCAAAGAAAATAGACTGTAGGTCTTCGCCAAGCACAAGCGGGCTGCAGCAGAGCTCCGCTGCGCCGAGAAAAGCAGCAGCAGCAGCAGCAGCAGCAGCAGAAGATAAGCAGCCACACAGCCCGTGAGAATGCACAGCAGCATATCGAAGAGTACAGCAAGCGAGACAAAGCAGAAGGGTACGCTGCTGCTTGTGCTGCTGCTGCGTCTACTGCTGCTGCTTCTGCTGCCACTACTTTCTGCTGCTGCCGCTGCTGCTGCTGCTGCTGCTGCACTCCTCACACTGTTCTGCACTGTGTCGTCCAGCAGAGACGGCGGATCTGCTGCTGCTGGAGGAATTTGGAGGGCGCAGAGCCACATGAACAAAGAAAGGGAGCGATCGCAAGCAGCTGATGCCTGCAGCAGCAGCAGCAGCAACAGCAGCAGCAGCAACAGCAGCAGCAGCAACAGCAGCAGCAGCGACAGCAGCAGCAGCAGCAAGGCACAGACCCAGCAGAATCTCAGCGGGGCGATTGCTGCAGCAAGTGCATGCGCCCACAGGTGGTCAGCCGCAGGCGGCAGCAACGAGCGGCAACTAGTGCAGCAGCCACTGCAGCAGCAGCAGCAGCAGCTGCAGCAGCAGCAGAACCAGCAGCAACAAAAGGCAAAAGGACCTCCTGAAGCAGTGGCTCCCCTGCCACCGTGGAAGCAGCAAGATGCTGCAGCAGCTGCCGCAAGAAGGCCCGGAGGTCTCCTGCTGTGGGCAGAACGGCACTGCCGCTGCTGCTGCTGCTGCTGCGTATCTTCTGCAGCATGCTGCTGCTGCTCTGAGACGCGTGCTGCTGCTGCTCATGCTCGGCCTGCTGCAGCAACTCCGCAGAAAACAGCAGCTGCAGCATCTCCTCGTGGACGCTGCAGATGCGCTGTCTGTACACCGCAAGAAGCTCCCCCAAACTCGCCATCAGCTGCGTCTCCTGAGCGTTAGCTGCAGCAGCAGCAGCAGCAGCAGCAGCAACAGCAGCAGCAGCAGCAAAAAACGGTTTGCGCACATGCGTTTGGCTGCGGATTCGTCCGACGCGCAAAAGCAGCAGCAACAGCAGCGGCAGCAACAGCAGCAAATCGAAGCGGCGGCAGCAGCAGCTGCAGCAGCAACCTCAGCAGGACGACGAGGCAACAACAGCAGCAGCAGCAACGGCAGCAACAAAAGGAAGTGACGACAGCAGCAGCTATCGCAGCAGCAGCTGCAGCACCGGCAGCAAGAGCAGCAAAAGCACAGGCGTCCGCAGCAAACCAGAGACACACAGAAAGGCGGCAAGGGAGCTCCTGCTGCTGCTGCTTTTCTCCACCGCAGCACAAAGGCCCGCAGCAGCAGCAGCAGCAGCGGGGTGCAGTCTACCATGCACCACGCAGCAGCCTCGTCTACATTTTGCTGCTGCAGCAGCAAACGCGCCGCGGATCTCTGCTGCGCCAGCTGCTGCGGGTCCGCGTGCTGCTGCTGCAGCAGCTGCAGCAGCTGCTGCAGCGGCCTGCTGCGGGCTGTCAGCTGCCTGCAGCAGCTCTTGAGGTGTACAGACACCTTGCGCAGCAGCTCTTCTGCCACAGAAGACACAAACCCTTTTTCCTGCAGCCATTCTCCCATTGTCAAGTCTAGAAATGGGGAGGCTTCGGGGCTTTGCAGCACCTGCAGCAGCAGCAGCAGCAGCAGCAGCAGCAGCAGCACAGCAGCAGAGGGTCCTGCACTAGCAGCAGCAACAACGAACGGGCCAGCTGCGCAGCAGCAGCGGCAGAACGCGCTTGAGGCGCCTTTGATGGCATAACAACAGCTGCAGCAGCTTTGACAGCAGCAGCAGCAGCAGCAGAAGCAGCAGCAGCAGCAGCAGCAGCAGCAACTACTCACTTGATCCAGCAGAAAGGCCTGACGCGACTTCTCTTCTAAGGAGGTAAGCATCTGGACTGCCCATGCTGCGACTTGCTGCTGAAATGGAGTGCAGCAAACCAAGGAGATGCTGCTGCTGCTGCTGCTGCTGCTGCTGCTGCTGCTGCTGCTGAAGAGAGGCTCACAGTACGAAGCCGCAGCGGCTGCTGCGGGGTCGAGCTGCTGCTCCGTTCCCGCTGCTGCTGCAGTGTTGGGAGCGACAGCAGCAGCAGCAGCAGACCGCAGCGCCTCAGCAGGCAAGGCCTGGCATGCTGCTGCTGCTAGCTGCTGCAGCACAGCTTCCAGCGCCTGCTGCGGCTGCTGCAGCGCGAAAAGACACTTGAGGTTGTCGGCCACGCCCAGCACGTCCTGCAAGGAGCCGCAAACGCAGCAGCAGCAGCAGCAGCAGCAGCAGCAGCAGCAGCAGCAGACCATCACTTCCGGCTGCTGCTGCGGAAGCTGCTGCAGTTAAATCTAGATGCTGCTACTGCACTCTTCTTGGCGCTGCTGTGCTGCAGCTTGCTTCTTTGTTTCCCCCATACCTGCTGCAGCAGCAATCCCAGCTGCAGCAGCTGCTGCAGCAGCTGCAGCAGCAGCTGCTGCTGCTGTGCAGCAACCTACCTGCTGCTGCAGCGACTCCTGCAGCAAGAGCTTCGGTTTGCTGCGTATCTCTTTGCCTAATTTCCTCATCAGCTGCAGCGCCGGCTGCATGCATTTTAGCTTGTGGAGAGCGGGGCCCCCCTTTAACGCGCTGCTGCTGCTGCTGCTGCTGCTGCTGCTGCCGCTGCTGCTGCTGCTGCTGCTGTTGCTGCTGCTATCCTCCTCTGCTGCCATGGCCTCCAGCTGCAAAAACGACAGAGAGTCGATGCACCGCGTGCAAGTGGCTGTAGGGGTTTACTAAACAGGGTTTGGGGGGCTTAGGGTTTAGGGTTTGGAAATTAGGGTTTAGGGTTTAGGGTTTAGGGTTTAGGGTTTAGGGTTTACCCGGACTAAGTAGTCGGCCTTCTTATGGTGCGCCGTTTCTGCGTTAAGCTTTTTGAGGCATTGTAAGAAGTGCAGCGCGAGAGACACCACCTCTTCAGCATCCAGCAACCTGCAGCAGCAGCAGCAGCAGCAGCAGCAGCAGCAGTAGCCGCAGCAGGAAAAGCAGCAGCAGCAGCAGCAGCAGCGACAGAGTCCCAGGAGCAGCACAGGTGTCACGGCAGCAGCAGCAGCAGCAGCAACAGCAAAGCCACCGGAAAAGCATAGGCGATATGGCAACAGCAGCAGCAGCGGAAGCAGCAGCAGCAGCAGCAGCAGCAGCAGCAGCAAGACAAAGTGTTTGCTGCAGCAGCAGGCTGTGCATCCTGGCAATGCGGTGTGTCTCACGCTTCCTGGCAGCTACAGCAGCAGGAACAGCAGCAGCAGAAGCAGCAGCAAAAGCCTCAGCAACAGCAGCAGAAGGAGCAACGCAAACAGCAGCACAAACAGCAACAGCAGCAACAGCAGCAACAGCAGCAGCAGCAGCAGCAAACCTGTCTGCCTCGTCCACAGCAGCTTCAAGTTCTGTTGCCTTCTGCTGCGTTAAGTCCTGCAGCTGCTGCACCTTCTGCGATATGCTGCTGACCTGCTGCTGCAGCTGCTGCGTGCAGCAGCTAGTGCCACCATCCTCTGCAGCAGCAGCAGCGGCACTGGTGCTGCTGCTGCTGCTGCTGCTGCTGCTGCTGCTGCTGCTGCTCTTGGAGCCCAACCCGGCGCCTTCTTCGCCCGTGCTTTCCTGAAATGAGCAGCCTCTGGTGCTGCTGTTGCTGTTGCTGGTGCTGCTGCTGCTGCTGCTGCTGCTGCTGCCGCTGCTGCTGCTGCTGCTGCTGCTGGGCCCCAGTAGCTCTGCGAAGTAGGCGACCCCTGGCATAAGCGACCCGAGATGGGCAGAGAGCTGCAGCAGCAGCAGCAGCGTCCACAGCAGCAGCAGCAGCAGCAGCATCCAAAGCAGCAGCAGCAGCAGCAGCAAAGTTCAGGCCATGGTGTTGCAGATCTGCCGTTGCTGCGTCTGGGCGCATCTCCGGCGCAGCAGCAGCAGCAGTGGGCCCCTGGGCAACGAAGCCACGATCTAGGGTTTACGGCCTAGGGTTTAGGGTTTAGGGTTTAGGGTTTAGGGTTTACCTCGCTGCGGATGCGGCCATCTAGAGCAGCAACTGCTTCCTCGAGCTGCTGCAGCCGCTGCCCCAGAGCGTCAGGGCCTTCGCCGCTGACTTGTCTTACAAAAGCCCCCACACTAAATGCTGCTTCTGCTGCTGCTGCTGCTGCTGCTGCTGGTGCTGCTGCTGCTGCTGCTGCTGGGGAGTCGGCTGCAGCTGGCTCGCGGCCTAGCAGCAGCAGCTGCAGCACCGCCGGCGGCAGGTGCTTCTCCGCCGCTGCGCAGCAAACAGCAGAAACCCTAAACCCTAGACGCCAAACCCTAAACCCTCAAGCAGCCGCACAAAGACAAGGCCATTCAAGCAGCAGCAGCAGCAGCAGCAGCAGCAGCAGCAGCAGCTCACCATCCAACCGAATGCGCGTAATGGTCCCCTCTAAAGAGGGTACAGCTATCCCCATTTTGCGCCTCTGAAGCAAAACGTCTTGCTGTAAGTTATCTGCTGCTGCTGCTGCTGCTGCTGCTGCTGCTGCTGCTGCTGAGAGGCTCGCGTCTTGGGGGCCCCGGGGGGGCCCCCACGGGGGCCCCCAGGGGGCCCCCTAGGGGCCCCATTGCCCTCCAAATATATTTAAAATGGAACTTTTTTGTCACTTTTGTTTTTATGTTTGGAATTTAAAACAAATGGCACTTTCAGGGCCTCAAGGGGGGCCCCTGGGGGCTCCTGGGGGCCCCTGTGGTCTTCGTAGGTTCACGGAGCACCGTAAACCCTAAACCCTAAACCCTAAACCCTAAGTTGTAGACATCAAACCCTAAGCTCTAAACCCTAGCCCTACGCTCCAAACCCTAAGTTTAAGTTTAACACCGGCTTGCCTATGCCCAAGATGTGCGGAAAAGTAGGAACAGCATCTCCTAAACCCTAAACCCTAAACCCTAAACCCTAAACCCTAAACCCTAAACTGCAGGCATGTCTTAACACAGTGTTAGTCTGCACTCCTTCAAATAGTGCTGCTCTGCAGCTAGCCAAGGCCAGTCACAGCTAGCTGCAGCTAGCCACAGCTAGCTAGGGCCAGCCACAGCTAGCCACAGCTAGCTACAGCTAGCCACAGCTAGCCACAGCTAGCTACAGCTAGCCACAGCTAGCCATAGCTAGCCAAGTCAGCGCCGCCACCCCTAACACACCACAAGGGATGCTAGCTAGCTGCAGTTAAGTGCATATTATTGCAGCTAGCTGCAGCAAACTTTGGCTGCTTCACTCGGCTGGCTGGACACAGTTTGGAGCAGCCGCAGCTAGCTACAGCTAGCTACAGCTAGCCACGTCTAGCCCCAGCTAGCCCCAGCTAGCCACAGCTAGCCACAGCTAGCCACAGCTAGCCACAGCTAGCCACAGCTAGCTGTGGCTAAAGACACAAAAAATCTCTGGTACAGAACGGAGGCATTGTTGCGCTGCTGCTGCTGCTGCTGCTGCTGCTGCATAATTGCAGCTGCCTCTCTTGCTGCCCTTACTGCTGCTGCTGCTGTGACTGCAGCAGCTGCCCCTTTTGCCGCTGCTGCTGGTGAAGCTGCAGCAGCTGGTGGCGCTGCAACAGTAGCAGCAGCAGCAGCAGCTGCTGCTGCTGCTGCTGCTGAGGCGGCTGCTCCATTATTTGCTGCTGCTGCAGGCGCAGCACTGGCTATTGTTTTGTTAGCAGCTGCAGCAGCTGCTGCTGCTGTGCTGCTGCTGCTTTGCTGCTCGCAGCTGTCCCAAATAGAACAGCGCAGAGCTGGAGGCTGCTGCGGCTGCTGCTGCTGCTCCCCTCAAACTGCTGCTGCGGAGTCGCTGCTGCTGCTGCTGCTCCTGCTGCTGTTGCTGCTGCTATCTGGGTAGTGGTCGAGTCTATCGAAGCCCACGCTGGTCCTCCCGCTGCTGCTGCTGCTGTTGCTGCTGCTGCTGCTTCCCGCGTCACTCGGCTCCGAAGGCAACAGCTGCATCCCCTTCCTGCTGCTGCTGCTGCTGCTGCTGCTGCTGCTGCTGCGGGAAAAGAAAGGCTGCAGAAACTGCTTCGGCCAACTAAAGCGAGCCACAACTCGCCCAAAGAAGCCCCTGTTAGTATATGGCTGCAGCGCGGAAATGCCTGCCAGGTAGCCTGTGTCTTCTTTTGACTTTGCTGCTGCTGCTGCTGCTGCTGCTGCTGCTGCTGGTGCTGCTGCTGCTGCTGCTGCTGCTGCTGCTGGCGCTGCTGCTGCTGCTGCTGCAGTTGGGGCTGCGCCGCGTTCGGGCGAGGCGGCTGTTCCTGCCAGGCCGTCGACTGCTGCAGCCCCTGCTGGCCCTGCTGCTGCTGCACCTGCTGCTGCTGCACCTGCTGCTGCTGCTGCTGCTGCTGCTGCTTGAGGGGAAGCAGCAAAGCCGAGCTGCTCGAAGTCCTCCTGCTGCATCAAATTGGTGTCCATGCGGCACTTGAGAAAGGCCTTCGCCAGCTCGCGGCACGGCAGGTGGTCGTACGCCTCAAACTGCTGCTGCTGCTGCTGCTGCTGCTGCTGCTGCTGCTGCTGCTGCTGCTGCTGCTGCTGCTGCGTGAGGCAGCGCAGGTAGCGGTGCTGCTCCGCGCTGCAGCGGTGGTCCCGGTCTAAGGGGAAGCTGCCTTTGGCTGGGGGCTTTGTGGGGCCCCTCACGGAGTTGGCGGCCAGGGACATTCCAGCATCAAGGGTTTAGGGTTTAGGGTTTAGGGTTTAGGGTTTAGAGCTGCAGGCTAGGGTTTAAGGTTTTGCACTCCGGGACTCTCGAACTGAGGCTCGTTCGCTCGTGGATGCACGGAAACTCTACTGCGAAACCCTAAACCCTAAACCCTAAACCCTAAACCCTAGACCGCAGACAAGCAAGCAGCTCTGCATGCAGCCCCAAACTGGACCCTCTAAACCCTAAAGCCTAATCGCTAAACCCTAGCCTTTAAACCAGCAGCTGCTACAAAGAGCCTCAAAACCCTAAACCCTAAACCCTAAACCTCCGTTCTTTAAATAAAATATTTCAAACTGTTTAGGCCGCTGCCGCCCCAGCGCGCCGGGGGCTGTTTCTAGTCCCCAGGTCATAAACCCTAAACCCTAAACCCTAAACCCTAAACCCTGAACCCTAAACCCTTGATTTTGATGAAATTGAACCCTGTGTGCAGCCGATGAACTCTCTATTGCAGCTGCGGCTCTGCGCAGCTAGCAGGATATTTGCTGCGGCTAGTCCTCTGGGGGCCCCTGCAGCAGCAGCAGCAGCAGCAGCAGCAGCAGAAAAGGCAGCAGCAGCAGCAGCAAAAGCAACTGTAGTAGCAGGGCAACGCGCTGAGCACTTGAGAGCAGCATCAGCAGCAAGAACGCAGCCGGCTTTGCCTACAAGGGCAGCAGCAACAGCAGCAGCAGCAACAGCAGCAGCAGCAACAGCAGCAGCAGCAACAGCAGCAGCAGCAGCAGCAGCAGCAGCTACGTCCCGGTTTTCTGCATATGAGGTTTCCTACTGCCAACGACGCGGCCTCCACTTCTCCAACGAGAAGGAGTTCAGGGCCTTCCTCAAGGGGTCTAGGTACGTTGCTGCCCC